TTAACTTATTCTAGTCTCTCATTCCTTGCTCAGTGGTAGCCTTGAAAAATAACAGCCACATTCTTGGTACCAGAGGGAGAACAGAGCTGGAGCTTTTTCAAAGCCTTATTCTGAAAGAAATGTCATTATTTGATCTCTCTGGCAGTCCCCTGGAAGACCCCATTCAAAGGCTTCTCTTTATTTGACCTAAATCTCACCTAGCACTAAAAGCCTCTCCCTGGAGTCATTTGTCAAAAACATTTACTGGCAAATATTGTAATCACAGCTGTCTGAGGTGATAAATAACAGTTGGGACAAACAATAGGCTAAAAAGCTTAAAAGAAAAAGCTGAGGAGCGAGATATCCATTACAGCTTTGAAAATCCCCAACATATGCCTGGGAACCTAGAAAGCCATGTACATGTGTAAAGCCATGCACATGCTCAACATTAAAAGGACCTGAGAAGGCTCTAAGCCAGTGGTTCTCAACCTTCTGGCCCTTTAAATACAGTTCCTCTTGTTGTGACCCAACCATAAAATTATTTTCGTTGCTACTTCATAACTGTAATGTTGCTACTGTTATGAATCGTCATGTAAATATCTGATATGCAGGATGGTCTTAGGCGACCCCTGTGAAAGGGTCGTTCAACCGCCAAAGGGGTCGCGACCCACAGGTTGAGAACCATTGCAAGCTTTACCTCTGGCTGACCTTCAGGCTCCATACAAGTAAGAAGTAAAGACTAAGGCAAAGTCTAAACTGCGGTGGAAGGTGTCTTGACATGTATACAGAGCCCCTTGCAAATACTGGGAGATTTATTGGTTATAGATGTTTAAGGAAGTTTGTCCATTCATTAGCTGATGATGAATCTGAGTAGAGATTTCAGTGGCCACACATCATAAAGAAAACAGACTTCACAGAATTAGTTTACTTAAGTCACCAAAAACAAACAACAACAATAAAAAAACAGCAAGTAACTAATAATTAGCAACCACAGCAAACATTGGGGAGGGGACAGCGTCTGATTTCCAGAATTGCCACATTATATTTTTTAAATGCTCACTTTTCAACAAAAAATGGCATAAGAAGAGACAACCAGGTATGGCCCATAGCTACCCAGGAAAAAAAATCAATAGAAACAGTACCTGAGGAAGCTCAGATGTTATACTTACTAGACTAAGACTTTGAATTGTCTACTTTAAACATGTTCAAAGAGCTAAAGGGAATTATATTTAAAGAACTAAAGGAAAGTACGAGAACAATGTCTTACCAAATAGAGAACATTAATAAAGAGCAAACCAAGGGAGGAGAGCGCCATGGGCTAAGACATACAGAGGCTAGTGGGCAACAGTAAGGACCAGATTTTATTCTGTATGTCACCACAAATCATAACCACTTTATACCAGTATATGGTAATACTCATGAAGTTTTTTGACTGCATGGAAGGAAAATATTTTATTCAATTTACATCATTTAATGCAAACTGTACCCATTCGTGTCTACACATGAATTATTTGTGGAACTGATTCCTGGGTCTACCTAGTGTATCAAAATATCTGGATATGAAGCCCTAGAATCAGGACTTTTTATAATGTATGGCTGTACAGTTTTCGCAAAAAAAAAAAAAAAAAAAATGTGAGGATGCGAAAAATCAAAATATCTCAACAAGAGTAGAGTCCCTTACTCGCCGAAGAACTTAGTATATCACGACCACTACGGCGTTAATACGTAGCATCGATTCCAACGGCTCCAGGCAAACCGCGCAAGCATGC